GGGTCTATTTTTCACATGGGAGGGATGTGAAAAGCAAAGATTGGGGCGTGGTGGACCAACTGCCAAGAAGGCCACCAACAGTTCCTCTCACCCTGTATTCACATGCTGTTTCTCCTAGTGTGTGCCAGCTTAGTCGCTCAGTCACATTCAACGCTGCAATCCTATGGACTGTGGCCCGCCAAGGTTCCTCTGTCCATGGGATTCTCCAGGCAAGAATACTGGAGTGGGTTGCCGTTCCCCTCCTCCAGGGGATCTTCCTGACCCAGGGATCGAACCCCTGTCTCCTGCGTCTCCTGCACTGCAGACAGATTCCTTACCACACTGAGCCACCTAGGAAGCCCCTGTTCCTTCTAGTGAGAGGAAGTCTGTTTTACACCAATGTTTGTAACAGCCATTTATTTATTATTCATAATAGTTCAAAAGCAAACATCCATCAACTTACGAAAGGATGAATAAAATATGGAATACCCATACAATATTATTTGGCAAAGGAATGGAGCACTGATACTTGCTACAACGTGGATGAACCTTGAAAACATTACACTCAGTAAAAGAAGCCAGTCATAAAAGACTACATATTACATGATTCAAAGTTCAGCACAGACAAATCTACAGAGACAGAAAATAAATTAATGGAGGAGGAGATTTAAGGATATGGGGAGTAATTGCTAAAGGGTCTCTCTTCAGGGTGATGAAAATGTTCTGGAATTAGTGGTGATGGTCACACAACTCTGTGACTACACCAAAACCCACGGACTGTACACTTGAAGTAGGGTAACTGTATGGTATGCTAATTGTATCTAAACAAAACTGTTACCAAAAAAGCAGAAGTGGGGAAGATGGCATCTATTTCTCCTCCTACTGAACCTGGCCAGCCTTTGAGCAACAGGATACAGGGTTAGGCAGTGCCAATTCTGGGCCTCACTATTAAAAGCCTGGCAGCTGCTACTTTCACACTCTTGAAGGACAGGGAGATGTGCAGAGAGAGGCCTCATGGAGGTAAGCGAGGTCTTGGTCATGTGAGTGAGGTCGTCTTGGACATTTCAGCTCCAGCCAGGCTGACAGCTGAATTAAGCCATGCAAGTGACCCCAGGAGAGATCCCCTAAAGCCAACTCACTGAACCATGAGAAATAATAAATCACTGTTGTTTTAAGCCACTGAGTTTCAGAGTGATATGTTATACAACAGTAACTGAAACACAACCTCTCTGAGCCTCATTTTCCACTGTAACGTGGGACTAATGCCAGAGGGTCATTGTGACAATCATGTGAAGCTAACGCCAATGCAAGAAATATTAACTATTATTATTATTATTACAAATCATCCCTGGATACCCTTGACATACTGCAGGTGTGCTCCCCAGGAAAGCCTCATTCTCACAAACACCTGCTCCTTCTAATCACGTGGTTTCCAAAAAGCTGGTTTGCTTAGGAAAACAAAGGCTTAAAAAAAATACAATATCTGAGAAAATGAAATTTCAACTATAAACAGACTACCAAAGAAGGGTCTGCTTAGATCAGTCATCTACCCACCTTCTTGTACATTCAACACATCTTTATTCAATCCTTACTAATTACCAAACATCAATTAAGAATAGCTAAGACTCCCTCCAGCTCATCTGGTAAAGAATCTGCCTGCAATGCAGGAGACCTGGGTTCGATCCCTGGGTTGGGAAGATACCCTGGAGAAAGGAAAGGCTACCCACCCCAATAATCTGGCCTGGAGACTCCCATGGACTGTATAGTCCATGGGATCGCAAAGAGTTAGACATGACTGAGTGACCCTAGAATAATTTCCACCTAGCTGGCTGTTAACAGAATAGACTACACACTAGAACTTCAGCTGAAAGATGGCATATGCAGCAGTAGATACATCTAAAATCATCCTGCTAGAGAAAAAAAAAAAAACCCTTTAAATTTCTGCAGAGCGCTCAAATTCTCGTGCTTAGAATATAGGCCCAAAGAATGATTCTGACTAAGGATCCCAGGAGTAACAGAGAGAAATAAATGAAACGGGTTTCCTAAAGGTGCATCCCTTAGTGAGGGGCAGTCAGAGGGTCCCATTCACAGAATCTGGAACCCCCAGAACCCAGGCTGAGAGAGGACTTCACCATCTGACATCGCCTGCCAAGTCTGGTGCAGAATGGGTACAGGCAATTAACAATACCCAGGCTGATGTCAGTGAGAAATCCTGTAGAGAAGGATGTTCAACAGCTTTCAACTGCATTTATGAAATCATGACAAATTGATAACACTGAACTAAAAGAACCTTTTAATCTTAAGAACAATTAAGATCCTATTTTTTCCTCAAAAATGCTGACATAATATTAACACTTAAATGACACCAAAGGTAAGAAAGAGGGCCAAACCCATGAATATTTTCTGCATGAGGGAAGAAGGTCCACCGAGCCCAGGAAGCACTTATTCTAGACAAGCTCTGGAACGTTCCAATCCACTGAATGCTACTTAAAATCAGTACAAACAATACAGGCCCGGAAATACTTGGAAGGGCCTGTATTGCTACACATATCTTTCAGCCACAGGCCAGAAGGGCTCTGGTGAAAGATACAACCTAGGGAGGCACTGGACTGAGTCTACTGTTTAATACAAAGGCTGGGCTGACTTTTTTTTATTTACATATATACTAAAGTGCACAGATATTGTGAGGCTTGAAAAATGTTTATACCCAGATTAAGATAAAAAAAATACTCCTAATACCCAGAAGGTTCCCTGTGCCCTTCCCAGTCAATAACAAATTCCACCCTAGCCCCCCACTCCACTATTTTGATCTCCAGAACCACAGGTTAGTTTGGCTTAGTCTTGAATTGCACATAAACAGGTCTTTTCAGACTGCCTTCTTTCATTCATCACAGGGTTACCTTATTTTGAAACAGAAACCAAGAAACTGAGCTTTATTTTCAGGAACTCCCCCTCTGATGTCACAGACCTGGAGATCAACTATTCTGATTATACTGGTTGTACTTCCTGAACACCTCCAAGCACATGTTGTAACACTTTAAAACAGAAACAGAACCTTGTATTGTAAAAGTTTCCCTTCAAAATAAACTAAATCTTTTAAAGGTATTCAAATCTATTTAACCTTAATATAGCCTCTGACTTAATACCATAAAAGTGTAATCTTTCCCATACTGAGCCCACAACTCCTCTTAAACCTATTTTTCTTCCTTGGTATCCATCCATTCTAAAGAACCCTCATATTCTGAAATAAAAAGAACCTTCAATTCTGTTACTACTTTCGACTAGTAAGGGGTTAAACTATAAAATTTAATCTTAGGGGTTAAACTATTAAACCTTAGGGGTTAAACTATAAATTAACCTCAGAAAATCTCTGAGGCAGCTTAACATTCTAAAATTCAGACGAATGTGGCAGTTCAGAAAAGACAGGAGAGGGACAACAGCAATAAGATACAGGTACAGAGTCCACAGTTAACCTGTCAGGATTCAGATCTGGGCTCTGCCATTTCTAGCTGGGTGGCCTTGGGCAAGTCATTACTCTACTCTGTGCCTCAATCACTTCACTGTAAAATGGGAATAACCTCGTAAGACTGTTGCAAGGATTAAATGTGAATGTATATAAAGCTCTTAGGAAAGGACCTGGCACATAATAAGCACTCGGTAAGAATAAGCTATATTCAAAAGCTGAAAGCTCTAAGAGAGTAACTATTCTGCAAACCAAAAGGTTACAGAACAGTCACAGTAGTCACCCAGACATGTAGCACAGTGCTTCTCAAGATGTTTCCTTTCCTAACCTTTCACAGACTGCTACTTTTTGTAAAATGCAAGATTACAGGCTTGAATGTCACAGCAATGTCAAACTGTTTTCAAGGTTTTTAGATGTTTACTCTTACTTTCTGTATTTACCTCATGGCAGCCTGATAGCCGCTCACGGACTGGCCCTTGTCTCCAGAGTAAACTTTGAGAAGCACTGTTCTAGCACACAAGAAGGACTACAAGCCTGCTGACAACTCAGCTAGCAGGTTACACAGAATTATGAAACCATATTAGCAAAGAAAACCAACCCCAATAGCAGGGGCAAGAGGATGACTTGAGGGTCAACAAGTTGAGAGATAAAATAATCCCAACAGGGACTTCCCTGGTGATCCAGAGGTTAAGACTATGCACTTCCACTGTAGGGGTCTCGGGTTTGATCCCTGGTCAGGGAACTAAGATCCTACATCCACACTGTGTGGCCAAGAAATAAATACAAATAAACATGTATTCATATACTACTTCAATAAAAAGATTATATTTAAAAAAAAAATTCCAACAGGCTGAACTTGGAAAACAAAATTGGCTGCCAGAGCAAGAATCCAACTGATACTTTGCCCCCACTCACTGCTTGAGGAGGTGCCCTCAGAAAACATGTCGGCCAGGAAGTCATCAGCCCCACAAGGGGTCAACAGATGTGAAGGAAGGAAGCGGAACTGATTCAACTCTCCTGAGTTAGAAGCCAACCTATGCAGTCACCAAGCTTTGGGAATGTTAACCACAGCACGCAAAGGCCAGGGTTTCTCCTCTGCCAAAGAAAACATGCAAACATTTCCTTTGGTGACGTGGGACTGCACACATGTGCACCCGGGTACACACATACAGTCGTCCCTCAGTGTCCGTGAGGACTTACTTGTTCTAGGACCCACATAATACCAAAACCTGTGGTGCCTTGAGTGCGTTATATATAAATACTTCATATGAAAGGTATTTACATATAACCTACACATGTCCTTCTATATACTTTAAATCATTTATAGATTATTTATAACACCCAACACAATGTAAATGTTGTTTAAATAGTTGTAAATACAACATGAATGTTATGGAAGTAGTTTCTAGAGTGCAGCAAACTCAAGTTCTGCTTTTTGTAAATTTCCAGAATTTCTTTCCCCAAATATTTTCAATCTGGTGGTTGGCTGAATTCATGGGTGCGGAACCCACAGATACGGAGGGCCGACTGTACACCCACCCCACTCACATCACAGTACCTGTGGTTTTAGGAGGCTCCTGAGGTCCGCCCTGCCAGCCGTACTGTGGGTATCCTTGGTAGGGGTACCCGCCCTGAGGAGGTGGGTAGGGTCCCCCTGGAGGTCCTGGAGGGTAGACTCCAGGCCCCATCGGTTGTGATGGATAAGGGGGATATGGGGCCGTAGGACCAGGGCCCGGATACGGCGGAGGGTTCCCTTGGTTCATCAGGGATCTGCAGAGTACACCTAGGAGACAAAACAGTGAAAGTTATTTGTTTTTAACCTGAGGAAATCATTAGAAAAAAAACTGTAATCATGAAACAATTTACAAATTGCCTTAGAGATATCCTAAACCTCTTGCACACTTTCAGCTCTGGCCACTTTGTTTTCTTCTCACCACTGGCAAACATCTTATGTATCTGATTGCTTTTTGTCTGCCTGCCTCACTAGACGGCAGGCTATGACAGCAGCAGTCAAGCCAAGCAACCGTGCCAGCACTGAGTGACCAGGCATGGGGTAAGGGTTGCTCCTGCCCGGGCACGGGTGACCTGGTTGGTCTCCCCAGACCCCGAGCTCTGCGCAGCTGAGCAGTGTGCTCGGCTGTCACCGTGCCAAGGGTAGAGCTATTTACAGAGGATGCCAAGCATCTTCTCTGACCATCCAGGCTCCCAGGACTCTGGAGGGCTCACCAGGAACCCCCACTGTTTTATAGTTCCTATTCTGGGTGCTTTGCTTCCGTGAGGGAGGCCATTTCCTCCCAGCCCCCAGAGCCTTTTATCCATTTTCTTGATTTGGCCTGAAGTCTGGAGGGGGTCAGCATCTCCTTTCTATCACCTCTGTAGCCCCTGAAGTGCATGATCAAGGACTTCCTGATTAAAAGCATTACTGAGGAATGCAAAGTCCATACACTCTGGATAAATCTGATACTGTCATCTTGCTGCCTTGTACTGTCACCCCTCTTCTGTGGTGATATGTAACGTTTTACCTATCTAAGTTAATAAAGGAAAGAGTCTCATGCTCAAAATTTAATAATTTCACCATTAATTCTTCATAACATGCAATCAATAAATTCATAAATGACCCTAAAAAAAGAAGAGAACAGCTTCTTATAAAGTAATAAATACTCACTACTTTAAGTAATAAATTACTTTTCTTACTTATAAATAAAGTAAGGCTCCCTAAAAAATATGGATTAAAAGAGTGGACTTTGCTGGCTGCCCACACAACAACCATATCCCCCTTCATAATAAGTCAGATTTCCAGGTACGGATCCATTCTTTCCTCCTGCAGTTCATGTGCTTCATAGGAAGCTCATTCCTTTCTAGCTCCAGGGTAAACCCAGTCTAACCTAAGCCAATCCAGGTCACCCTTTCCTCTTTTCCATCAAGACTGATTCAAGGAATTTAGGACTAAGCCAATCACAAATGGCAACCCTTGGCCACTCGGATTATTTCTAAAGTGGTTTGATCAGTTAAAATCTTAGGGCTCTCCAAACACGCTCCCAAACTTCCTTTTGCCTTAACATAGGCAAACACATAGTCCAGCAAGGACATGGGCTACAAATTGCCGACAGCCAATCTTCAGCCCTGAGGGGGTCACCAGCCTTAAGATGAAGCAGGTACTTCAGAGAGGTATAGCAGAAAGAAGGAAAGAAATGGAATTCCAGATGACTTTATAATAGCTCATAAATCAGACTGAAACCCAATCTAACCTAAGCTACCTCTGTAGAATTTCCAGTGCTAGGAGCCAACAGTAAAGTAAGCTAAGGAACCCGAGTGACGTTCAAGCAAGCAGACATTTATGTAGCGCTGACTATGCCTGGCACTGGTCTAAGTAGTGGGGTATAGAAATGAACATGGTTCAAATCCTTCCCTGGACAATGGGTTAAAAAGAGAAACACAAGGATGGTGTTTTTTAGAAAAGGTGGTAAAGAGACTATTGGGCTGGAGTAGGGGCTTAAACCCAGTGGGAGGAGGTGCGAGTGAGGAGACTGTCATTTGAAGGAGGTGATAATAAACTTAAACTTTATAATAAGGAGTCAGAATGGCTGGAAGCTCTCTCTTTTGACCACATCTGCCTTCTGTCTCCCATTCTTCTTTTTCCAGGGGCCTAACAGGGATTCAGAAAAGAACAGGAGTTCTTTCCCCTCTTTGCTCTCTGGCCTACACCAACATGGCATCATACTCTGACCTGGGAATGACTTTCCCTTTAACCTAAGGAAAAGGCCAGTGGTGACTAACACTGCAAACATCATGTGAATCTGAGCATACTTTTTTTTTTTTTTGTAACCAAAACTTTAATCCCAAGGATTCTCACAAAACATATTACAAATGACAGCATGAAAAAAGAATCTTGCACAGTAACTCAGTTCAGCTCTACAATGTACCCTTAAACAGGCAGGACATTTGTTATCTTGAGTATCTCAGATTTCCAAATAAAGAACGTTACAAAGAGCTATGTATTCATATACAGCAATCACAGAAGGAACTTACAACCGAAAGCAAAGGTAAACTAACTTCCTTGAAACTTCTTAGATTCTACACCAACTGGACAACCTTTTGTCCAGTGTGAAGACTAGTGGGATTTTTAAACCTCTAATCTGGTTTAAGGGTGAAGCTTTAATTTTTCCAGCTGGTTTCTGAGTTCACAGCAGCTTTTAAAAACTGCTTAACTACAGCTACATACCATATCCCAGCTATGTTGAAAAAAAATTCCAATTTTTGCCAGTTTTTATTTCCATAATATTACAAACATTGACTTTAGCTGGGCAGGAGTTAAGAGGTTTATTATCAGCCTATGCAAGACCAAAATTCAAAGCAAATTAAATTTTACTTAAGGGAACATTGTAAAGTAACAATTCTTGATATTACATGCCCCATATGATCCATTTCAAACCATAGAGAATTACACCTTTGTGTCACTGTTCCAATAGACAAACAAATGTGAACAGCTAAAACATTTTAAAAATGCACCAAGCTTATGAAGTCTCAAACAAAACTTGAATTTTCTGTACATACTCCTGTCAAATGAAGTTATTTCCTGTACACCACTCCTCTTGCAAACTTGTCTTCTATTTCCTTTCATTTGACCTAGATCGGCTACGAGACCTAGAGAACGAGCGGAACGGCTTGTGATTTCTCTCCCGGGACAGTGATCTCTCTCTTCTCCTATCTCTAGAAAGGGACCTGCTCCGGCTGCGGGAGAAGCTTCTCCGTCTTGGGAGATCTGCGTCGAGGTGGAGGACTCCTCCTCCGATAATCATCTCGAGGGCGACGACCCCAAGAAGGAGGTGGGCCACGATTACGACTTCTCTTTTCACCATTCGATAGTTCCACTCTTACTCGGCAGCCACACAGTGTTCTCCCATCTAGCTCTCGGACAGCATCAGCTGCATCTCGGGGATCTTCAAATTCAACAAAAGCAAAGCCGGGAGGGTTTCTAGCAACCCACACACTTCGGAGTGGTCCGTAATAGCCAAAAGCTCGTTCCAATTCAGTCTTATTACCACTGTTTCCAAGATTACCTACATAAACTTTACAGTCCAATGGACAGGAATCACGATGCATTTCGAGATCTTGGGTTAGAAATGCGGAGGTCCAAATCCACAGAACCTAGGCTAGGTCTTCTCAGTCCCCTCCCGCCCAGCGTTCCCGGATGCTCTCGTACACCCAGCGTCCACGAAATGGCGGCGAATCTGAGCATACTTAACTGCTGACTACTTATGCATTTCCTCTCTCCTACCTGGAAGGTTGTGGTAAACCTAGTGAGCCCTGGTTAATACAGAAATCAGTCTTATTAATCCCCTATGGTTATTCCATTAGTTATTTTTTAAGTCACAGAAGTAGAACACAGTCATCATAACTATTCTTTCCTAAAATTCAGTGTGTGTGTGTAAGGGGGATGGGCCAGTGGGTATCCTCTGAATTGACCTAATTCCATCAAAACTGTAGTTTAATAACTTCATTAATCCAACAAACCCCTGTAATAATGATTGTTCTTCCTCTGAAGACACTGCCCTTCTAAAAACAATGAGCAGTGAAAAGGAAAAGAGAACGAAGTATTTAGAAATATCACAACCTCTCACACGTCAATGTTTCATGACTTTTCTTGATTGATTTCTGTGTATGTATTCCTCACTATTCCTGGAACCTTCAAAACTCTCAAACAAATGTGTCTTCCCCTTTCTCCCTCAATCATGCTTCCCCCTCGTTTTTAGTACACATCTTTCTCCTTCTGCCTGAGAAATTGCTCGATGTCTGGGGTTGGGGGGAACCTTATGTGCTACTCAGAGGCACTTATAAGAGGATAAACCAAACAATGCTCTACTGTCACGACCCAACCCTACCACACACTCCGTCCCTGTGTTCCCAGAACACAATCATCTTAGGGCAATACAACCTGGATTTTCAGTGTCCTCCAGGCAGGAAAAAAATTCCAGTAAGAGAACAGCAAAAATCACAGAAACTCCATCTATATTGAGAGCAGAGATTCCAGAGCTGGCATCTGAAAAGCAGGAGTTCACCCAGTGGGAATCAATTGTTCCCAAAATTGCACAGAAGCAAACCCAAGTAAAGAAAGATTCCCTCACATTAACACAGTCTAGTACAAACCATTTAACATAACCAAAATATAAATGAGCCTTAAATTTAAGGTATGATACAAAACTTTAAAACATGAATTTTTCCCTTATAAATCTGGTCAGGTGAAATGTAAGCACTGCTATAGGAGAGTGTGTTATACTGAAGATCAGATGTAAACAGTGGAAACTGTAGCATTAAGGACAATTCACAGCTCCAAAAGAGACAGCTCAAATCAAGCAGCAGCCAGGATCAATTAAGACTGCATTGGGGACCTCCCTGGTGGTCCAGTGGTTAAGACTCTGCGTCTCCAACAGAGGGGACGTGGGTTCAATTCCTGGTCAGGGAACTAAGATCCCACATGCCTGCAAGGCCAAATAAATAAATTTTTTAAAAATTTAAAAAAAGAAAAAAAAGACTGCATTGAATCCACCTAAAAAAAAGAATTCAGAGTAATAACAGTAAATATGATCCAAGGTCTTGGAAAAAGAATGGAGGCACAGATCAAGAAGGTATAAGAACTGTTTAACAAAGAGGTAGAAAATCTAAAGAATAAACAGAGATGAACAATAACTGAAATGAAAAACACACTAGAAAAAATCAATAGCAGAATAAATGAGGCAGAAGGATTGGTAAGTGAGCTGGAAGA